TACACTTTTTGCTTCGTATCTTCATTACTAACTTAGCGACGAGACGAACTTCTCTACACATCAATTTGCCGCAGTATATCCACGTATTTCGCGCTTTGCATATTCGTGTATGCGTAAAGCCTAAATACAACGGAACTTCGCTACACACGTAGATGACTATGCGCATACCCGATGACAAGCTGTTTCATTATCTAGAATCAGTGAATTGTTCCTACACTATCGAATGTATAACTGCTTCATCTGCAATTTGCACGAGACCGCGCCGCCACTCGACGCTTCGCTGTCAAGCTAATCGTAAGCCTTATCGTAATTGCCTATACTAGACGTGACTATGTCGAGGAGGAGGTGTGTAGAAATACGTGGTATAATCGTTATCTCTCGTCGTGTTAATTATCCTATACAGTGAAATGAAATTTATTTAGGAAGATAATTTTCTCCAAATTCTTTAAATATCTTGGTGACAATTTAATTATAATGAAACGTTTTGTCATCTAGAGGACGTTTTGTCATAAAACTGAATTAACTCTATTAACTCTGTATTTTCGACGGGGCAGTAACTGAATTGTCCCAGTTCGTAAATAGATACCACGAAAACGGCTACTCCGATAGTGGAGTAAACAGTAGATTTCAAAGTTAAACTTGCACGTCAAACTTACCTACTGCTGTTTACTGCATTACGAATGTATATATCCATTTGCGGTTGAAGTATCTTATTTTCCCTGAGTGGACCGTATTGCGTCGCTCGCAGATTGAATTTAACCAAAAAAAGACAAAAGCGGCCGGGGGAGATTCATGAGAACGTGCGAGGAAACGATTGTCCCTGTTCTTGTCGCGTCGCTGGGAGCTAATTCATCCTCGGAAGGCCCGCCCGGGGGCTTGCGATTTGCCGTCGCGACGAAGTTTTCTATTCCCGCTGGTATCCGGGTCGTAGAATAGGGGAGCCACGCGAGCCCAGTTTCCCCAATGCAATTAAGATAAGCGCGACCGCGATGTTTATAAATATTTTCGGGCATTTCCGAAATAGTGAGCGTGGCATGTATTCCCGTATCTGACGTCGAGTACCCGTAGCGTCGTGACCGGCCGCAGGCTACAGCCCCTCGCGAACTTTCGGTCACCACAGCGCGTTCCATCCCTCGTCTCCTCCGGGTGAACGGGAGCTTTTATACGCGAACTTACTCCGGTTTAGGTTGGACCTTCTATACGTGCGAACGAGACGTATCGCGGTGTGGAGCTCTGGACGCGTGCGACGTACCACATGAAAAATTACAAGTGCGCGCAGCGCGTCTCACGCCTCTCTTACTTCCTCGTTCTCTCGTTTGCGGCGACGTGACTCTTTAGAAGGAGAAAGACCGCCGGAAGAGAGGGAGTGTGCATACCGGTGCATTCCCTCTCTCAGAAAACTGTGTCGTCGGAGTCCTAGTGCGAGATTAAAACATCTCAAGTATCACGTCGTGAAACAGTGTGATTCAGAATTTCAGTTCTTTTCTTTCGCGGGTATAAGATGTAATGATTTGCGAATCTATCGACAGTTTTAAATATGTGTTAATTAAATTGAGTAACTTTGTATGAATTAAATAATTGATACACCGTTGGAAAGTTGGTGCAAAATTTAACGCATGTTATTTCGCGTATCTTAAACGATCCAGTCAAATTTTTATGTTAATATAAAATAAATATGTTAGAAGGTATATATAACACAAATATTATTTTTAAAAATAAACAAAAAAAAATAATACTGACATAGTTTGTGAACAAACCATGGAAGCGTATTTTTTTAATAAAAGTTCTGATATTAAATTAATACATATTTTATTCATCTTAGAATTTATGTTTTAAAACACATTATTTTTTATTATTTGATGTTCATCTACTCATCAATTACATTGACATTAAGAAATGTTGGATACCAATTTAATTCAAATTACATCTCAGAATTCGTTAATTGCAAGACCTTTCGAATAATAATTATTTTTTCACATTTGAACTCACTCTCCTTTTAATTATTTTAAATTGTGAGGAATATTATTAAACCTCAGTTATGAGAAGATATATGAAATGATATTATATTGTAATTACACACATGTAATTCGTTTCATATCTATCCGTTTTTATGGCATGATAAGAAGTTCTAATTAGAAGACATACTCATGGAGCAAGGCAACTAAAATAAATTTCCGGATGAGATTATTTACTAGAATCCGATAAATTATTATCATTTAATATTCAACATGCGAGTATTACGTGCGTTTTCATGCGTTTTACATGTTTAATTAATTGCGAGAGTTGAGCGAGATTACCAGTAACATCTTAAAGTTTAACATTGAAAATGATCCGATATGGGTCGAAACTGTTGTATGGTATAATTGTTTATTAAAAAGGTTTTCTTACTTAAGATCTAGAGTGGTTCGTAGTAGTGGTCTTTTATTATATTATTTTATTTCTTAAATTTTTGAACCGTTTTTTTTTTCATTTGAATTTAATTCAAATTATTTAAATAATCACATTACGCTAAATTCACTCTCAAATATGTTAAAAATACAACACAAAGTTTTAACAAGGACTTGAGTGGACTGTTTCCATCATAAGTACAAAATGTTTTTTTACTGCGTGAAAAAATTAAGCAGGAGAGGACTGTGCGTACGTATATATAGAATGTATTAAATGCCTAACTTAATTTTACATAACAGAAACGTATCTATTATTACAATATATAATAAATAGCAATAAGCGATATCTTTTCTATTCGAGATAATATTATTAAGAAATGAAACGTTGCATGTAATATATGGTATACATGAATTAAAATTGAAATTATATGAGTAGGTACACGAATGGATTCACCGCACGTGAGTGTATTTAATGAATTTAATGAATTCCGTAAGTGACAGAATCGCACTGATAGAGTCGTGTCATAAATATTTGCGCAATCTTGGTTCTCCGGGGTCTGTCCGCGGCTTTTGCGCTGCGCGTGCTTGCTTACATCCATCTCCCTGTGTTGAGATAGTCAAATGGTGATCAGATAGGACCGAGAGGCCCTTTGAATAAATTCTCAGACCGATAGGAAGGCGGTCCCAAGGGGTTTGCTCGACAGTGCGATAGCCGATAATGGTCTGGTTCAGGTACCGTCCAATATTCTCGGGTTAATTACCATCGTTTTAACCCGCTGTGATATCGGCGCTATTTCTTAAACCGAGTGTGGTCTGCAAGAATTGATTCTATACATAGAGATTTGTATTTTTCAATATTTTTATGTTACGCAATATTACATCAAATTCTAACTGACATCTTTAACTGATTGATTGCTACGGATGATGATCGTTAATCTTTATACGTTCATCTTTTGCGAATTAGATTAAAATTTAATAAGTATGCTACTCTGCGGCAATTCGAGTTCCTCCCTTCGAAATTAATCTGATAAGAGACAATATATTTTGTATTATAAGTCTGTATACAATTTTACGGTAGCGGAGAAGCAGCATATGAACTTCTGAAGTGCGACTAATACAGGGCTATTTATATCAACCACGAGATAACGGCCTGATTCTAGAGTGCTACGCGAGGCTTGCGTGAGTGCGATGTTGGCGGGTTGTGGGTGGGTTGTTTCCGTCGCTACATCGATATTACTATCTGACGAAGATGATAGCGTAGCGGTCTCGCATAACGTGTTCTGCAGGGCGCGATTAAGCGACGTGTTTTACGAGTAACGGTATATCGCGCGTGGGAATCGAAACGTGTCGCGCGGGTGATGAATTCCCGGGGGTGTCCCTGCAGAAATTATTCTTCCGTTGTTGACAAGATCAATGGCCGAAATCTCGGCGGACGGGTTTTTTGACGGTGATCGAGGCGTTGTGCGACGCGAGTACGTCGTTGTCATCGTTGGGACTCGCTAACGGGAACGTCATGTTTATTTTACGCGACGCGCGTTCGCGGTTTTGAAGAATCTGGTCGATTAGCAATTGCATGAGATACGTACATTTCCGGAACGCGGCTTCAGGTAACATCGATCTTCGTATTTTACACGTCGATCTTCATAAAGATTACAGCGTAAAATTTCGCGAATGTGTAACCGCAAAGTATAATACGTACTGAGAGAAAAATTTTTGGCATTTGTAACTACAATTATTACTTGTATATAGTAAGATAAATCAATTAGTAGACAATTATTTGACCCAATTATTTGACAAAATGACAAAAACTTTAAATATTAAGCTTCTCTAGTTGATTTGAAATCGATTGATTTTTAGGACCACTTAATTTGATACCTACTAGATTTTTTATTAATCTTCGAAAGAAACTTGATGCAGCGTTGATAAAACATCGATTTTCTTCGAAGATTAATAGAAAATGTAGTCGATATCAAATCAAACGATCCGAAAAATCAATCGAACCGATTTGATTTCGACTTATGAACCAGGATATATAAATTCAGTGTTTATAAAAATATAATAAAAGACAAATTTATTTAGAATCGTACACATTATTAAAAATTTAATTTAAAATGCTTATCATTTCCTTCAACAATTGTGTCATGTCTACTAACTATGACTGGAATATTTATCTTATGTATTTTTCTCTGTGTATGCAATGAGAATTTTCCACCGACTAACTAATTACGATAACACATTGACTGCGTCACGTAATTGCAGTGCACCGTAGTACGACGGGGAAAGATCGCGTTATCCATGATCGACCTTAGACTCAACGCGCTCCGCCCTGGTTGACACGAGGGAGCGGTGTAAAACTTTTATTTCGACGGATCTCAACTACCAGCTGTGCAAAAAGCTTTTTTGTTTTACGTTGCGCGACTGGCCGATAAACCTCGCCTCGCAAGTACGTCGTAATATTCCTCTAAGTGATTACCTCGTCCGAATTCTCGCGTGTCTGCATGTCGCGGCTCTCGATGCTTTTATGATAAAAGGGGTACGTAAAGAGCTCCCGCACGGGATGCTACGTCCTGAGTTAATCTTCGCGAGAGAGATAAGGTTTTTCTTCGTTTTCAGGCTGTGCGTTCCTCACCTACTACAGCCGTGACAGCGCAATCAGCGCCCAGAACGCTCTGCATGAGAAGCGGACTTTACCAGGGGTGAGTGTTTACAACGTTCACTGCAAGCAGTTTACCTACTTTTCAACCAATTACGCTCCATTAATGCCACTTCATTCCAAGTCGTTCCCACTCCACCGCGAAAGTCTTATCTCGGTCTTGCTTAATAAGTGTTCTCTCGTTAGTCAAGCCGTACTGTGCGAGCGTGCACACATACCCGGGTCGGAGATGTAACTTTGAAGGGGCAATATATTTTTCTTAATCGCAAAGTTCCATCGACGTGCAGCGTATGCGCGACGTTTTCCGAATACGCGAATATCGTAACATTCGTAACCCAAAATTGTTTGGCATTACGAATACTCCGATACGCGTGAATTAGCTGGCGGGAGACGCAGACGCTGCATTCGTTTTGCAGCGAGACCGTTGGAGTAGCTCCAAGTTTGCGGGCGAGACTTCGAAATATCGATTTATTTAGTCTCCGATTTCCGTCTATACTTCATGGAACGGTCATCGAGCGTACGCGCGACGGATGCTGTAATTTTTAATCGAAATGCGTTCGCGTGCAAAAAGGACAGTAACTGATACTTATCGCCGTATGCCGTTTCATTCCGGCTAATTTTGGCGATTCCCCCCCCGTCCGTGATTTGGGATATTAAAATGGCTCGACGTGACGAGTTAATCTCTTAACGCCGAGAGCCCGTTTAGGAGGGAAGAGAGACGATCTGAGTAAAGGGAAGCAGCGCGATCGCGGGGATGGCACTGACGTGGCGAGTCCGTGATGTATCATCAGACTTTCTGTGAGGAATTCTCTGCAAATGCCAGGACCGGATAAGTGCATTCTTATACCCCTTTCCTGGTAGCACGAAAATTTTGCATGTCTCTTCTATGGGAACTGGGAGGACTCGGAGGATGCACATTACTTGAATCGCAAATGCAGCGAATGAAGAAAGTCGGAGCACAAAGAAGGGCTAAAGAAACAGTGCTTTATAATCGTAAGGTCCGAATACGGCGTAAATAGTTCTTCTCTTTTCTTTCCCTCGCCATATTTATGGCGAGTAATATCATAAATAACACTGGACATACACCGTTATCCCCGGCGTCTGAGTTGCTAACTCGACGTAGCTCTCCCTCGTACAATGTTAGAAAGTTACGATATCTTCGGGACGTTCGAGATATTTTCACCGGACATTTATCGCGTCCGTAGCACGTGATACTCGACTTCTCGTATATATCGACGCCCTACTTTGTTCGCGTCAAGCGATTATATCTCATTAAGATATACTTTTCATAGTTAAATCCCTCTTCTCGTGTTGCATAAAGTTTCTCGAAGGCCTGGGTTGCCGAAACTCCTGAAATTTTCCATCGATCGTGGCCCCGGAGGCCAAGTCGCGGCATTGCCGGCACTGAATGCTGCTTAACTGCCAGAGCGGTGCCAACACGCCCCTTCCCATTATCTGAGCTACCCCTTGGAAGTCCGTAGCGAGTACTGGCGTTATGTTTCGTTAATCTATCCCCGAAACAACGCTGCTACGGTCTTGGCACGGCTGCCAGCGGAAATCGTTTTAAATGTTATGCCGAGGGATGCACGCCGGGAGGGAGGGTACGGTTGAGTTATGACTTTATGAAGAGGCGGACGCACGTACGCGCGTACGCCGACCGGGTTTTTTTTTCTTCTTTTGCATGCACGCGGTTTCCGCGTGTTGGCCGGCCGCGAGATATATCTGAAAAAAATCTGCACGTCCGATTCCCGTGATATATGCGTCGCGGCGAAACCGCTCCGTCCGAAATTGCGCGGTTTAGTCCACAATCCGACGACAGAAATATATATCGTTTTTTTGTCGTGTTAACTTGGAACTCTGACCAATAGTTAGAGATTTTTGCAGTGCCACGGTATTTGAAAATGGTATCTTTCAATTAAAATTAGTTTAAATAGCGACAGAAAAATAGGTTTTCAAAAATTCGTTTTATTTAATCCATTTCTTTTTGACACGATGATGTGAAATGATATTTTTATTTATGACTCTCGGAGGAATGATTGATCCGCAGTCATTTGGGTTTAACAAATCTATGAAGCTCAATAAATCCGCGGATATTCACACACATTTACATATTGTAAACACTGATATTCATACATGTTTTTATGATTGAAAATTTGAGGAAAAATGAAGATGTTTAAGGAAAAGTAAAGACAAAACACAACCTAATTTAATATCCGGAAAGAATTTTTTTTTAATTTATTCTGAAAAATATAGTAGTTATGGTACAATACAATATTTTAAAGATTTTTACCATACAGTTCAGTAAAATTAATCAAATTTATTTTATATTTTATTATAGTTTTACTAATGAAAGAGAAATTTACGTAAATATTCTTCGAAATAATTGCTCCAGGACACTACTATACACTGTAAAAAGAAATGTGTTTTATTCTTGTTCCCATTTTTAAAGATGTTTTAGTTTCAAATTTTTTTAATATACATGAAACACTACTTATTTGGATTTAAAACACTGTACGTTTTAAATCCAAACACATAGTGTTATGTCTATTAAAAAAGTTCGAAATTAAAACAAATTTAAGTGTTTAAAAAATGGAGAATAAAATATTTTAATATCTTAACACTTCTTTTTTTCAATGTATTTTCGAGGTAAATTTAAAGAAAAAAATTCTCTCTGTGTAATAATATAAAGATAAAAAATAAGAATAAGAACAAGACGCATATAGATATATAACAGCATTTCATATATATAACACAGGATAAATAAATAAAAATAAGCTCTCATTTAATTTATATCTATCTTATACATTTTGATTTATATTAATTTAACTCTTCTGCATAATTTTTCAATTTTTATTGTGTTTCCCAAGATTTCTGCTAAAAAAATAAAAGTTAAAATAAGATAAAATCTATGATAAAACTGTTTTTTAGTCAAAAAGTTAGATTTTTCGCGTCATAGCGAAATTGGCACAAAAATATAAAAATGTTTACTGTTTAAAGATATGGGTACCAATGCATTGAAGTGTTAAAGAAATATATTTGACAAAATAAGATTTAAGACTTGTTTAGAAGCGTCATGCAAACTTTGCTTTCTGATACTACCTAGCGCATGTATGAACAGCTGCCTTTGACTGTCATGTCATTGATATATATTCATCCTTCTGTCGCCATGTCTTGATAAGATAGGACAGCCAAAATGATATTTAAACAGATGCTCGTCAGAGGCTTGCGGATTTCACTTTGATCAACGCATTGAGTCTAGCATCTCTCAGTTTTCGCTATACATTACACTAATTCGAGCTCATCGCGAGCTTGTAGAGATTGCAATCTCAGCGTGAAGTTGCATAAAGTTACGTAACGTCGCGCTATGTATGCATAAGTCGCGTCAGCCCGATCATATTAAAACACTTGGGCCGAGAACGCGACGGTTATGCAAATCTTAATCCAGCGCTTATATTCACCAGGACGGTTTTACGAGCCGGTTCCACGAGGATAGCGGAGCTTCCTCCGAGATGTCGATTTCATTCATTGGAACCTGTCTCCTGTAAACGCGACTAAACATTCGGCGTCGGAATATGTACATTTACGATGCATACGCTCGTTTGCTGATCGGACCTAGTCGAAGTCGTAATACATCCGAATACACCTGAGGCCATAACTCGACCGAGCAACGGACCCTTCATAAACACAGATCCCGAAGCCAAGCAGCGCCGCTGCGCAAGCAATAACAATGCCGTCGGCCAACATCGTCTATACTTAGCTCACGCTCACTGCGGAAGCGATCGTTGCACGTGCGCACGCGCCTGTTCACGCGCACGCGAGGAACAGAAAGTGACAGAAAGTATTCGGGTGTCCCGCTTCCGGCCGTTTCCGTAATACTTCCAGCGTGGTTTGACGTGGCGTGTCAAACTTGTTGCTATACATACGTCCGATGATTCAGATCTCCGTACCTTCCTTGAACGCTAAATTTAATTGCGCGTATTTTACACGCCGCTTCGACATTCGTACACGATACCACAGACCTCACTGCAGTATTTATCAACATCGTTATTAAGCGTAACTTCACGTAAATAACGATTACGTCATTCGGTACCATTAAAAATTATCTCTCTGTGAAGAGAGAAAAAGGAAAAACGAAAATTCACTTAATGCAGTTCATCTGATGGATCTAAATGCATTGTAATCGCTTCTAGATTTTATTTGCTCCTTATTGTCTTTATAAATTTTTTTCTCATTTGTTGCACTGAATCTGCATAGAAATATCCGAATCTTTTTCTCTGCGGTAAAGCCTTCCAGATTTAATTCTTGTTTATTTGCTTTACTTCGTAAGCCATGCCTGAAACTGGTCGTCATGTTGGTCTAGGCAGCCTCAACATTAACAGATCGCCAGATGTTCGATGGTATCTCGAGACAGAAAAATTCCTGTACGTGTTACACAGCTCGTAGATAGGAATCCGACTTGTCCGTAGACGTTATAATCTCAGAACGTCGACGATATTCGGGAGAATGGAGATGACTGCATTTTGAGGGACGATAAAGATCGATCAAAATGGCAAATTGGTATTATAGGAATCGTCGAATGAAAATGCAATTTTCGAGCATCATGACAAGCGTCATGCTGTACGTAGAAAGTAATGTTCCGCCTTGCGCGTAATCGCTTGGCAGCGGTTCCCTCGTGAGAATTGAAAAAATGCATTAAAGCTCACGCCTGCTTTTCGACCGCTACCGCTAGAGACCTTCGTTTTCCATGTTGAAATCATGAAAGAGAGAGAAAGAGAGAGAAAGAGAGAACTTAAATGGCGAAAACGTCGAAGTAACGCGATAAGGAACGTTGAAATTTAGACGGACGAATTGCGGGTGACAAATTGGTGGGCCGATTTACGAGGGTATAATTGGCGGTGTTGCGACCATAGAGTTTACGTCGGTTCCGAAAGCAAAGAAACATAGACGCAACGAGAAGGTGAAAGGATTGATGAGGAGGAACAGGGGTAAAGGAGAGAACGAAGTTCGCACGAATTTGCATAAGGAGAGCGATACTCGCGCGTG